GATTCAGGATTCCATATATTACTCAGTGCTCATCAAGATATGTGTACTCTTAATCCCCATCACCTATTTCCCCCATCCCTCTATCCCCCTCCCCCTCTGGTAACCATCTGTTTGTTCTCTATAATTAAGAGTCTATTTTTTTTTTTTGGTTTGTCTCTTTTTTTTCTTTCCCTTTGTTCATTTGTTTTGTTTCTTAGATTCCATGTATGAGTGAAATCATATGGTATTTGTCTTTCTCTGACTGTCTTATTTCACTTAGCATTATACTCTCAAGATCCATCCATGTTGTTGCAGAATGTATATTACTTAAAAAAAAAAATCAAAATGAGAGGGAAAAAAAAAAACAAAGATAGGTTTCTCCCAAACTGAGGGATTCCATAGTGAGGCATTCAGGAGGGCAAGTCTTTAAGCTTCAAGTTGGGACCAACAGAAACTGTTGGACTTGAAGAGATGTCTTTATGAGTCATGAGTCATGCACAGCAAAAACAGAGAAGTGCTAGAGAAAACAAATCAAGGGTAGAAAGGGAGAAGTGTGCCCCTTGTCTTGGGGAATGGTGTTTGTAAGTACCCGGGTGGGAAGACTTCATCAAGGAAACTGGAAAAAAACAGGAAGCTGGGGAGAAAGAAACCAAATGAAAGAAGGACACAGTGGCCAACGCTCAAGATGGAGAAACATTTTTGAGGAAGAACAGATGTTCCTTGGGATTCTGAGAAGACCCAGTCTCTACACGGATGCGTAGATACACTCTGCGAATTCCTGTTTGCAGAGTGCTTTGGTGTCTTCTGCTATAAGATCCGTGGCCGTCAACAGTCCTGGTACGTTAGGAGGTGTTCAGATGGAAGGGCCAGAAGCAGTTTCCATGTGTTGATGAGTGTTAGAACTTCTCCCAGCCAGCAGCACAGCAAGCCGCTCTGCCTGGTAGCATGGAAGCCCCAGGAACAGCCTCAACACTCACCTTATGCTGGCGGCCCATCCCTGCCTTGGCTTCCCGGCCGAAACGTACACATCACTCAGGGCTAGCCATCTATTTTTCTGGCAAAACTGTGGCAAGAGGAGTTTATATGAGATTAACGGTTACAAAACGAACAAATAAATAAAAACAAAGCAAACCCAAAAAACACGGAAGAGGCAGGTGTGTCTTTTCAAATGATACGTGTCTACCTCCCTCCACCGCACCCCCATGTCTGCCTGCACTTGGGTGGATATGTCTGCGCCTGTGAGAATCTTTTTATTTAGACATCACAAGGCATTTGACCAATTTTGAACACGGCTGGCTTCAGTACTGGTACACAGAGAGATGCCTGCTCTTCCTACATAAAACTCTCCAGTTCAAACATGTTTGCAGAGCATGATTCATGGTGTTTCTTTCTGGATTGTCCAGTGGGTAATTGCTATACGAAAACCAGAGAAACAGATGTAGACCCTGAACCTTGGCTATAAATTTTTGTTTTATGATTATGGGTTTCAAATGTGCTGTGTCACACTGACAAATATATGGTTACTCTGAAACAAAGTGGATTTTGGTCTCAAACTTTTGCTTTTTTGTTTGTGGTTGGAAATACTTTTAGTAGAGTTTCTTTTATCATTGATCAAACACAAAACAGAAGAGAGGACACATATCAGAATGTTATTTTATGCCGTACCAAGAGAATATTTGGGAAAGGTTTCTTCCAACTGTTGGATTAATGTTTAAAAGAGGCGTTAATAATTTAAACTTCATTTATCCCCAAATTAACTAGGCCATTTTTTACCTTCTACCTACTCATTAATCTTTATCGTACATGGATATGTTATTTAAAGAAGTGGCTTATTTGTATATCCTTCCTAAATTTTACTTAAGATGAAGAATTTGCAGGAAGACTGGTTTTCCAGAAGTATAAGAATTAGATTTCCTGATGAAGACATGATAAGAAACATGTGGCTAAATTTGGGGGCTGCTTTATAAATTAATACTTGGATTAAATAATAGCTCTAATAGTTGCCATCAGCATAATTAACTCATGATGAGAAATGATGAATAGATTAGTGAGTGTTGTTGCACTATAAGAAACCCATAATATTCTATTCACACGGATTGAAATAAAAGATGAGCATTCAAAAGCCCAAGTTTATTCCTCTACAGTTAAGAGAACCCCAAGGTGATTATAAATTTAAAATTTTCTCACTCGTGCAAAGAAAGAAAACACCCAATCTCTTAACCCTACCCCCACCCCACCCGCCCCGCACACTTTATGATTGTTTTTGTGCCATGACATAATATTGAGGGTAGAAATTAGGGAGCAGTCTTTTCCCTTCCTAGATGAGGCTGATCCTCTAGCTTTAGAATTGAGAGTAGGGGTGCCTACTCAGTCGTTAAGCGTCTGCCTTCGGCTCAGGTCATGATCCCAGCGTCCTGGGATCGAGCCCCGCATCGGGCTCCCTGCTCCGTGGGAAGCCTGCTTCTCCCTCTCCCA